CGCGGGATCGAATCCCGGCTGCGGCGGCTGCATTTTCGATGGAGACGGTAACGCTGTAGGTCCGTGTGCTCAGATTTCGGTGCACGTTAAAGAACCCCAGGGGGTCGAAACTTCCGGAGCCCTCCACTACGGCGTCTCTCATAATCATATGGTGGCTTTGGGACATTGAACCCCACAAGTCATTCAATTATTGAGGAGGCTACAGCAGCCCATCCTAATACACCTGACCCGTGTACTTGAATATCCAACTATACACACGGCGTGCTTACATGTCGCCCTCACCCAAATGCAACCGCCGGGACCGGTAGTTAAACCTGCGTCTTTGAGCCACGCAGCACGACACCTAAGTCATTAAGTCGGCTTCACTTGAGAACCAGGAAACGTCATCAATGCTCCATTTTCGGGCGAGTTGCTCCGTTACAGATTAGGAAGTTCCAGGCCGAACTGACACCCGAAAGAGGAACGACACGCACGCACAAGCTTGCAAAGACTCAGTGTGGGAATGATGAAGCACCATCCTCCCAGCTTCTTTCTCACCTCGGTGGATTAATTGAGCAGCTCTCTTATCGGGACGCTTGCGTGTATGCGTTGTCGTTTGTCTTGTGCTTGTGTGTTCGTGCTGGTACTACCTTGCTGCAGAAAAAAAAGTTGAAGCTATAGGTACGGTGACTCGTGAGCAATAATATACTGCGGCCTACCATTCCTGTCGTATGGCTGTACCAATTTCTTTTTAGTCCGGCTGGCTTGAGCTTGCTCTCAGAGATATAAAATAGTGTCAATAACAAAAAAAATTACCATTCCACATTCCGAAAACCCGTTTTACGGGCGGGGAGCATATCGGCAGCGCGATGACCCCGACCTTCACAAAGTTGGAGCAAGCCGATTGCCGCACTCTTTCCAGAACGTGTTTTTGTTGGTGTTGTTGTTTTCTCATCCTTGCCCCCTGGGGTGACGTCAGCGGTTGCGGTAGACGCACCGTCTGAAAAAGCCCTCGAGTCTGTGGCCGGTCGCTTCCGCTACGCGGTCATAAAAACATCTACGTCAGTGACGTGGCGAAATAACACGCGAAATCACAGCTCCTTGCCCAATTTTTGTACTTCTCACACCTTCGCCCTCGCCCGCACATTGCGTTCTTCACCGGTATATACGCCGGGCTTACGTAAAACCGTGCAGTAGGCCAAAAGCTACGGCGAATGGAATGTACGTGTTGTCGAACGGGTCCGCACTTGTACAATGATTTTATTTATACTGATTGATTTGTGGGGTTTAACGTCCCAAAACCACCATATGATTATGAGAGACGCCGTAGTGGAGGGCTCCGGAAATTTTGACCACCTGGGGTTCTTTAACGTGCACCCAAATCTGAGCACACGGGCCTACAACATTTCCGCCTCCATCGGAAATGCAGCCGCCACAGCCGGGATTTGAACCCGCGTCCAGCGGGTCAGCAGCCGAGTACCTTAGCCACTAGACCACCGCGGCGGGGCGATTTTATTTATACTACCGAATTTACTTTCGACATACTTTGCTAGCTATGTGCAGTAGGAACAGTCGTTACACCAATGGAACACACAAAGTTAAATTATGTAGCTGATCTTTAGCTGTCCCGTATTTTGTTTTGTTGCTTGCACTCATGAATTCGTTTTTCTTAAGATGAATAGATATGAGCTTCGTACACAATACTTCGCTGGAGGGATGATGGGAGTTTGATAACGATGGCAGCGAAGTATGTAAACTCACTGTTGGGGATTCTCGAGATACTGCTTCCAGAAACGCACCATTTCGTAGTGTACATTTCATATACTTATGATCTGTTCGACCAAAGTTAGTATAGTGTTTTAATTTCGGGTAAATGTTATACGCGCCCCTTATTTCTGTTTGCGTGTGTGGCATTTAAAGTACATCCTTCTATGGCGCTTCAATGCTCACTATTTGAAAAAAAATGTGTCGCTTCTTTGAAGCCAAATCTGAAAAAATGTGTCTTGCTTAAAAGGTCTCGTTAGGCGCACATCGATGGCTATTTGATAAACCTTATGCGTTAGAAATACGCACCAAAAAAGGACCACCAATTTTGCATGCAGCTCCAGGATGCAACTCGATTGCCGGCTGCAGTGCTTGCAAATTTTAATGCAAAGAACACCCCTGCGCCTAGATGTGAGTGTACTACCATTGCCGAACCTCAGGTGGTCAAAGTTATTCCATTATCATATGGTTGCTTTAAACGCAAAACCCGCTTAGTAATACCAAGTATTATTATTATTATTATTATTATTATTATTATTATTATTATTCATCCGTTCGAATGGGGTCAACTGCGGTGCAACATCGCCATAATAATTTTCTTGCTTTTTACGGCGCAATATATTGATCAATAAGACACGGCGCTCTTTGGCAAACCATGGTCTTTGCGCGAAAAAATCCCACTAATCATGAATTAAACAATGATCGATCAATAGGTTGATTGATTGGTTGTATGATTGATTGATTGATTGATTGATCGATTGATTGATTGATTGATTGATAAAAACATTTTTGTTTACACAAAATGTTCTCACGGTATGCGGCAGGGCCACTTAATCATGAAGTTCACTGGTAATTGTTGCCGTGTTTGTCCTCCCTCGGAGATGGCAGCCAGTTTCACAGCTAACCGAGCTTCGCCGGAGCAGTAGGAAGTACTAAAAGGAAATTCACAAGTTTCTTTATAGTTCTTGTTTGTTATATATCCACTCCTTTTATCTTGTTAACAGTGGTTGCAGTGCCCCGCCGCGGTGGTCTAGTGGCTAAGGTACTCGACTGCTAACCCGCAGGTCACGGGATCGAATCCCGGCTGCGGCGGCTCCATTTACGATGAAGGCCAAAATGTTGTAGGCCCGTGTGCTCAGATTTGGGTGCACGTTAAAGAACCCCAGGTGGTCGAAATTTCCGGAGCCCTCCACTTCGGCGTCTCTCATAATCATACGGTGGTTTTGGGACGTTAAACCCCACATATCAATCAACAGTGGTTGCAGCGCAAGCAAGAAAGTGCTGGTAGTATACGGAACGCGAGGAACCCTCTTTTCTTTGCGTTCCTCGCCTTCCGTACGCTTTTCTTCCAGCACTTGCGTGCTTGCGATGCAACCCTTGTTAAAATGGAATACAGCCAACTAGCTCAAACAGTAGTTCTTCTTCGATGTTTTTTCCTTTCGGTTATATCCTATGCACCTCATCCATCTTGTATAAAATGCTGCCGCTGGTTGTAGATACTAACCGCACCAAGTTTATTGTCCATATGCAATCACGGAAACTCACCAACAGGCCCAATCTGCCTGTCTTCCTCATACCCAATATCCCCACACATCTATAGCTGCTAACAATCTCTTATAAAAACGAATATTGAGTTGTGATGGAAATACAGTTGCCCATTCGTTGAAACGACCGATTTTCGATGGCATGAAAGAAACTAAAATTGACGAAATACGATAAAAGTTTCAGACAGTTCCTAGCACGTTCTTACTTATTTAGAGGCCGGTGTCGGTAGGTGCAGCGAATTGTATGTGTGGGCGTGTGTGTGTGTCTCGCCGCATATATCGGCATATATCGCGCATGATCTTTTCAGCGATGCTGATAAGAATCATTGCTTTTTCTGCGGCGCGTTTCATTTATGCACTGAAGCAACTAGAGAAAAGGTATAATGACTGTAAAGGTATACAAATTTGTATAGGAACGAATAGTATGATCATCAACTATAATATAAGCCATGGGTATGGCTCCCACTACTCCCCAGTCCACTTTCCCCGCAAGTTAATTGTATCGTGATCTACATAGATACGCCAACTGAAACTCCGCATAACTTTTCCTATTATTTTCCTTGCTTCCCTTCTCGTCTTCGTATGGTCGTCAAAAGGGGTCGACAAAAGGCGGTCTCCATGTGGAGGACCCAGCTACAAGCCCCTGTTTCTATCTCGAAAAACGTCAGGCGCCGTCCACCAGTTTTTACGTGTTCATTACTGTTGACTAACGATTAAAGTACTGCAGGAATGCGAAATTAGTTTGAATGCTAAAACTACAGCATGACCTTGAATTGTATCTTGTCTATGGCACCTGACTACGACGTGGGCTTGTCAGTCTTGCGGCGCTATTCTACTCACTAATCGTGACATAGCAAATTCACAAAATTGGTGTTAGTAACTGGTATTCCAAGAACCGTACTCTCAGCTGTGCATAAGCCCCGCCGCGGTGGTTTAGTGGCTAAGGTACTCGGCTGCTGACCCGCAGGTCGCGGGTTCAAATCCCGGCTGCGACGGCTGCATTTCTGATGGAGGCGGAAATGTTGTAGGCCCGTGTACTCAGATCTGGGTGCACGTTAAAGAACCCCACGTGGTCGAAATTTCCAGAGCCCTCCACTACGGCGTCCCTCATAGTCATATGGTGGTTTTGGGACGTTAAACTCCACATATCAATTAATCAATCAATCAACTGTGCATAAGTCAATGCTTCTCAAACATGTTTGCATTCATTTTCGCAGAAGCAAAATGGCAATACAAAATAGCCTGCAAAAGAAGATGGTCCTCAATACACCCAACCTTACGTGCAGTCCACCCTTCCTCCTGAACGCAGGCGAACGTCTCACAACTCAGCCACTCTTCAGCGAAAAAGAAGAGACATGCCAAAACGAGCCTAAATCTGTGAGGCAGTGGCTTGGGCTTATATTTTCTTCTTGTTCTCTTTCTTAAGGCTCATTCGCACTTGCCACCCATCAGAGGTGGTTGCAGTGACCACCTCATAAACTGATGCCCATGACCTCTGGAAACTGCTGCACAGTTCTCGTGGAACGGAACCTCAATGCATTACGTTATCCCTTGCACATTACTTATCTCCCTCCCCTGGCCCGTTGGGCTTCCGTGTGTTGGTCACTGTGGCACGTGAATGGCTGCGCTGCAACCCCTTTCCTGTTGCCCGCCACAACCCGTTCTTGTTGTGCTCGATGCATCGCGTGCGTCTTAGGAGGGGTGCGCCACACCGAGTGTCGGGTCGTGCCGCTTAACAGTTCTCAGAGAACCGCCGCCGGTACACATCGCCCAGACCGGGCCACCTCCGTTTTACGGTGCTCTATCGTCCAAGACTGTGTGGCCTACTGGTTGCCAAAGAGGTAGGTAAGTTGATACGACATATCAGTGGAGAGTAGGTGCAAGCGACGGTGCAGTCAAAAAAGAAAGCCCTGTTTTTTCGGCCTTTTTCAATAAGACTAAGGTCTAGGACTCGTTCATCCTATTGCATCAGCTTCCTCTAAAAATTTACAGCCTTTGGGACTTGCACTGTACACACAAACACCAATCATTAGGCAATGTTTTTTTCACAGTTTTTTTTATTTATTGTGACACATTATCAGTCTAAATTGTGAGATTGAAGTCATGGGCGACCACGTCAAACTTGCTCAGCAGCTGGATGACGGGGTACAGTACAGATAAAGTTCCCTAAATATACGCTTCAGGGAACTCTGGCGCTAGTGCCTATATATATGGGCGTTGCAACGCAATACGCTACAGCGAGCTTGGGAATTATGGTTATGACATGAATTTGCCTAGTCGTCGTACTTTACGTTTGTTCTGGCTTCACGTGGCATAAAGCTGGTTTGTCACGAAACAACAATCGGTAAATGTTCGGCAGTTACGCTTCATCACCTTATTCTTTCAGGCTTACCGCTTCAAATCGGGCAACCAAGTGAAAAAAACGGTTTGTTCTTTCCTTTGAAACAAAACAAAACACAGAAATAAACGAAGCTACAAGTTCGTTCGCCACCCGAAAGCACGAAGACTAGGCAAATTCATGTCATACCCATAATACCCATGGTCGCAGAACGATCCCAGTGCCACAGTGCGTTTTAAATAATTCTAGAAAACTGTACGGTGCAGTATGTTCAAGTGTACTTAAGGTCTTTTTCAAACTGAAGGATGTATTTGCGCGACAACTTCTCTGCTCTCTCGGTCAGAGCACCTTAATATTACTATTAAAAACAAGAACAATTTGCAATAGCGTCCCAAACTTCACACTTTGCTTTGAATAGCGTGAACTTCCCTTGTGGCGTGTGAGGATGTTTCGATGCTTGGCTTGAGTACTCGGTTTCAATTCTGGTTCACGGTGGCCGCGTCTTGGTAATAATTGTTGCGGTTTTATGTCTCAAAACCACAATATGATCATGAGAAAGGTCGAGGCGTAGAGACTCCGTATTATGGGTTGCCAAGATGAAAAGGCAGAAAGGAACCAGAATATTGAAAAAAAAAATCTAGTCAGAGAGTAGCCAAACTACAAAATGTGTTTTTTTTTAACAGCTGAAATTATCACCTTCACTTTTCGTGTCTTCTAACAGAGTTTATATGTGACATCAATGCTAGTAGTACAATATAAAATCTTGATCTTTACTATTCACCAACTCTTAAAACGACCGAATGCATGTAACTGGTGCCAAATTCACAAAACTGCGTGATTCCATCGGTCAGTCGGCTTCACTAATGACCCTTCTCACATCGTGATTGGCTGAAATATTTTTTACGAAACTTTTTTTTCGTAAGACGTTAGTTGTGCATACGGGCGCTGGCTATTAGTATGCAGGATGGTCTCTGCAGAGTAACGCGATTAACGCAAGTTTAACCTTCGATGCGGTTTGCCAGAGTCACAAGACATCTCGGAGATGTCCTCACGACAGTCTCTTCGTCGTGGGCCAGTAGATGTGCGATGTTGGCCCTTTGTACGGTGATGTTTGTCCTACTCGGCGCCCCCGGAACAGAAGGCCATGGTAGGTTACTCGAACCTCCCGCAAGAAACTCCATGTGGCGAATAAGCTACGACACACCCCCAAACTTCGAAGACAGTGAACTCTTTTGTGGAGGCATAAAGGTAAGGCATTTGATAGGCCTGGAGATTAGGGGAGAATGACGTAGCTGCATCAGCCTTGCTGTGTACATCTTTACATAAGCCGACAAATATTAATTATCTAAGAGGTAGTTAAGGTAATGAAAACCCACTAAAGACGCTTTCTTTTTTTACGTTGAGCGGATAATTATAGCCTCCTGACACGAGGAGTGAAATTAAGATCATTGATTTTTTAACTTGCCAGAATGTTTCTTCTGAGTGCAATGATGAAAAGTGCCCCGTAATTTTTCTGAATTTTATGTTACTTGGCCGCCGTGCGTTCTCCATTATAATGAACACTGGGCTTCAAGAGAGGCCTTTTTGCTATGAGGAGCCCAAATATGTGTTTTTGTCATCTTATTTGAGTTCCTACGAACATAAAGTTAATACCAAAGTACGCGTTAACACATGCGAGATTTCGTATAAAACTCCACTCATTTTCTAGGCGGCAGCTGTAGAAGTCGCTCATGCCTGACCTTGGCATTCCAAACGCTCTTGCAAAGGCGAGAAGCAGCGACATTGATCATGTTCGCTAAATGACAGTATGGGTCCCAGTACCAGCCAAGAAAGTGTTTCCATGGAGAAGCCAAGGGCTTTAAAAGGTGTGGCGTGCTGTGTTTGGCCCGCCGATAAATTTTCAACGACTAGTTCTCGGGAGCAGAGTCAATAAAACGCATTTTACAAAGAATTCTTTACGTACAGTTGGTAAAAAAAAGAGGAGAAATTGAACGCTCGCAGCGTACCTAACACAATTTCCTGAAGTATATTTCAATAGCAATAAGCGAAAGCTTTATCCAAGAATAGCGAAAAGATACCTGATAGACAGTGAGTAAAGAAATTGCATGATAAGATCTGTCCATGTTTTATTATGTATGTGCATTCGCGTATTCATGCATACATGTATGAATGCATGTTCGAATACATATACCTTTTTTTGCATACCTTGTTAGGTGAGAAGAAGAAGTGTCTCTTTAGAAGAACGCTTGTTTCAGCGCTCTGTTTCATTTTAGTGAAATCATCGGTCTTTTGAGGGGCCTCGCCTCTCCGTCTTGCGGTGATGGACATGGAGCATGGCAGAGGCCCGCCTGGTCACAGGTCCTCACACCCGTCAGCCACAAGGAAGCGAGCTGGCTCTCCCAGTGACACTGAGGACACCGATCTCTATTCTATGTCGGAAGACGACACATCCGATGGCAGCTTCATACCTGTCCGGGGTAAGAGGGCAAAGAGAAGGACGGCGAATACAGCAGCATCAGCTCCTGCAAGCACAGCGACTGTGCATTCAAGGCCTGCGCGCTGGCCGCACGTCATCATCTTCATGCCCGAAGATCCATCAAGCAACCTACGGCTCCTGAACAGGCAAGCCCTTTCGGTTGCTCTCGAATGTGCGGTGCCACATCAAATTAAGGACGTACGAGTAAACCCAAGGAAGAACATTCTCGCCATAGACGTGCACGATGTGAGTGCGCTAGGACAGCTGCAGCGAATAACTGAGCTAGGTGGCATTAAAATGCGCCCCTTTATCCCGATGGATGACAAATCAATTGCCGGTGTAATTTATGACATCGACACTGCCATTCCTAATGCTGACTTGTCTACCCTCATCAAGCCTGCAAACGAGGGAACTGTCATTACGCAAGTGCGGCGCCTTGAAAATACGCGCTGCGTAAAAGTGTTTTTCAAGGGAGATTGCATACCGTCCCACGTTAAAGTTGGACATTTTCGACATCCGGTTCGACCATTCATCCCAAAGCCACTTCAATGTCATCAGTGCTTCAGGCTAGGACACGTCAAGGGCGTATGCCCCAACTTACGACTGTGTCCCCGCTGCGCTGAATCTCATGCTGAAGACGCCTGTCGGGCGACTACTCTGAAGTGCGCCAACTGCAGTGGTCCTCATGCTGCCTCGTCGAAAGACTGTCCTCGAATCCAAAAGGAGCGCGCGGTTCTCAGACAAATGGCCCGAGACAACTCAACACACAGGGAGGCAGCCGAAGTAGTCCGGCGTCGGCGTCGACGTCGGCATCATCGAAAGTCTTCAAAGAAGGCACATTCCCGAGACGCTCCTTCCCACTCTGTAGCGGTTCCATCCAGTAGCGCCGCGAAAGGGCCCACCACTTCTACGAAAGAAACAGAGAAGCCTCCTTCTCTGGAGGAATGGCCCACGCTCCCGACGCGCTCTTCTGCCAAGGAACCTGTGCAGGTTGTGGCCACACAAGAGCCATCTCCAACCATGGAAGATTTGCCTAAAACTGATCGTCAAGTGATCTCGGTGCTGCGTTCCCTTATAGAAGCCATCCGAGCGATATTAGTCGACATGAAGACACCATCTGCTCGAAGCGCACTTGGACTATTGGACGCCCTAAGCCCAGTGCTTGGATCTCTCAACTAGGAAGATGATTACTCACACCTCAACATTTCTTAAAGAAGTCAAGGCTGCATCCGTCATCCAATGGAACGCCAGAGGACTAAAATCACGCCTTTCAGATTTTCGTCAGTTTGTGTTTACCAACGTGTTTCCAATTATCGTCATTTGTGAACCCAATTTGTCGAAACCAATAGGACTATCGGGGTACGAAGCTGTCATGTCTTCAACGAACAGTGCGTGCAGCAAAATCATCGTCTTTGTTCGTCGTGAACTGACGTATGTTGTGCAACCAATTGCACCTCACGATGACAATCAGTATGTCTGCATCACTGTGAAAAAGAACCAACTCGTGTTTACTCTCATAGGCGTTTATATATCACCGTCACGTAATCTCGATTCCAGGAGATTAGCGGATATTTTGAGAGTGTGTCCTGCACCATGGGTCCTAATAGGTGATTTCAATGCGCACAATCACGCATGGGGAAGTACGCGGACAAATGCAAGAGGACGCAGGTTAGCAAACATCGCCTACAACTATGGCCTTACTCTCCTGAACGATGGCAGCCCCACTTTTCTTCGAGGGGTGACATACAGCAGCTGTCTCGACCTTGCTTTTGTCTCCAACTCCCTCGCGAGATACGTCAAGTGGTTTCCAGATGTTGAGACACGAGGAAGTGATCACATTCCAATCTACCTTAACATCAAAGGCTTGTCTAGTTATGGTCCACGGACGACCATTCGAGCAGTCCAATGGACCAACTTCAAATCTGACATGGAAGATGCTTGCAGCGATGGCCTACGATCTGGGTTAGAGGAAACAATTAAGAGCACAATGCAAAACGCCACTCGCACGGTGACAATATCTTCCACACGAAACGACTTTGATATAGAGTTGGAGCGACTCCGAGCACTGCGACGCCGGGCGGAGCGTCGGTATCGGCGTACAAAATCAATTCACGATCTTAGGGCAGCCAGGAGGATGCAAAAGAAGATTCGGCGTCGCATGGATAGATTAGCGTCGGAACGATGGACAACGTTTTGCCAGTCACTAGACCCTCGCAAGCCACTCTCACACATTTGGAAAACGGTGCAAGGTCTGCGTCACCCTACGGAACAGCGCTTTCCATTCAAAGCGCTCGCGCTATTTCAAAGGAGGCCAGACATCGATGTCGCAGAAGATTTCTGTGCGCAGATCGCCAACCAAGCCACTCGTCCAGATTCTCCAGTGAGAGGTGACGTCCCCCGTTCCCGTGACTACCACATGGACCTCCTTTTTACAATGGAGGAGCTCGAGGCGGCACTAGCTCTCTGCAGGCGTTCAACTTCTCCGGGCCCAGATGGTATTCCGTACCGAGCCTTGTGCAACCTTGGGGAAGGTGCAAGGAGAGAACTGTTGAGCCTCTACAACATCTCGTGGCAGGATGGCAACGTTCCTGATGACTGGAAAGTAAGCCGCTTGTTACCCATCTTGAAGCAGGGCAAATCCCCACTCGAACTAACCTCATACCGCCCAATAGCGCTGGCCAGCTGCGTAGGGAAGATAATGAAACGGATGATACTAGGCCGCCTGGAGTGGTATCTTGAATACTACAAGATTTATCCGAATTCAATGGCTGGTTTCCGACGCGACCGCTCTTCTATTGACAATGTCGTTGATCTAGTTTCGTACGTTCAGCACGAAAGATCCCGTAAGCGACTATCTGCAGCTTTGTTTCTAGATGTGAAAGGCGCTTATGATAATGTACTACATGAAGCCATTTTGGGTGCTCTTGCGGTGGTTGGCCTTGGTGGTCGAGTCTTTCGGTGGATTTCGAGTTACCTGGCTGCAAGATCATTCTTTGTGTTAACAGAAGATGGCCCAACTACGCGACGCTATACTTCCAGGGGTGTTCCTCAAGGCGGAGTTCTTAGCCCGACGCTATTCAATCTTGCACTAATTGGCCTTGCTGAATACTTGCCAAGCACCATTAAAATATCAATATACGCAGACGACATCTGTGTCTGGACATCGGCAGTCACACGTCCTCAGATACGTTCCCGGCTTCAAAAGGCAGCAACTATGATTGCCAACTACTTGTTCAAACAAGGTCTCAGCATATCACCAGAAAAATGCGCGCTGGTGGCTTTCACTCGCAAAGCAATGACCCCTTATGTCATCTCAATCTGCGGGCGACCGATTTCTTACGCCAAAACCCACCGGTTTCTGGGCAGCATTATTGATAGGGACCTCTGTTGGAGTCCGCATGTGACCTATATGAAGAAGCGCCTGACCGCTATTTCTCAACTGTTCAAGTTCCTGGCAGGAAAGACGTGGGGGATGTCAGTAGACGCAATGATGGAGCTCTACAGGGCCCTGTTTCTCGGTTTCCTCAGATATAGCTTGCCTGTGCTTAGCAATACCTGCAAGACCAATGTTCGTGTTTTACAGGCAGTACAAGCCCAAGCGCTGAGAGTGTGCCTCGGTCTGCCCAGATGTACGTCAACAGAAGCAACAATTGCAATTGCTGGTGACTATCCGATACAAACTCACATTGTTGTAGAAGTCCTGAGAACGCACATCCGACACTTCGCACGTGCCCCCGGCCATCACCTTGCACTGTTGGCTTCAGAGAGGCGCCAAGCATCGTTCGCCAAAATTATCGTGAAATACAACGATAAACTTCCCTCGGGCTTCACTCATGCATCTAAACCATCCATACCACCTTGGTGTCTTATTCGACCCACAGTGCATCTTAGTGTACCAGGGATCCGGAGGAAATCTGAGTTTTCGTCACCCGTGCTGAAACAACTGCCTCTTCTTCTTTTGCACGAGAAATATTCAGACAGCATACATGTATACACCGATGGTTCCACGAACCACCAGTGTTCGTCAGGGGCAGTAGTTATCCCAGAAAGAGGTGTTACCATCAGCTTTAGGACTGACCACTCCACGGCATCTACAGCAGCGGAACTAGCTGCTTTGCGCTCTGCACTTTGTGTGGTCAATCGGGAACCACCGCAACAATGGTCAATTTTCAGCGACTCAAGGGCTGCCCTACAATCTGTGCTCTCAGCACTGCGTCGCGGCCCGTACGAACAGCTTGTTTTCGAAATTCGATGCCTTCTCCACACTTTACTCGAGAAAGGGCATCATGTGACGCTTCAATAGCTGCCAAGTCATTGCGGCATCATAGGGAACGAACATGCCGATACTGCCGCGCGGGCAGCCCTTGAAGGAACACGAAAAGAAGCCATACCACTTTCGAGGACTGATGCTGCCAGTAATCTTCGACGACTTGCGCGTGAAATCACGTTTTCACTATGGTGCCCACCAAGCATCGATACGAATCGTCAACACCACCTGTCCTATTTGATGGCTCTCCGCATGCCCACTGGACTCGACCGAAGAGAAGCCACCCTACTTCATCGCGTATGGCTAGGAGTGGCATTTACAAAATCTTACTCCTTTGTCATAGGAATGGCCGACAACGCTCTCTGCGATGCCTGTCATTGCGAAGAGACGCTACACCACATCCTGTGTGACTGTCCATTGTATGAAATCCAGAGACAGTCACTGGCGTCTGCTTTTGCGCGCATCGACAACAGCCAAATGTCTGTGGACACTATTCTGTGGAGTGCCCGAGAGAAGACACCGCAACAGAAGGCGACGAAAGCTCTGTTGAAATTCCTACGCGACACCGACTTGAACAAGCGACTGTAACAGCAATGTCACACACCGCGAAAGACAAGACTGGACTATGACTGAGTGTGTGCGCATGTGCTGCCGAATGTGCTGTTTCTATCTTCCCTCTCTGCCCTCTTTCATCTCCCCCATCCCTCCCCCATGCGCCGGGTAGCAAACCGGCTGCCTATAGGCTGGTTAACCTCCTTGCCTTTCTTTTCTCTCTATTTCCTTCCTTTCCTTGTTAGGTCCGTGTCGAGTGAGCCTACATACTGCTTGAATTGAAATAGATGTTACACACATTTCATGATCCGTAAGTAAGCTTCTCTGCGCTGAACATTCGTCAAACTAAAAACGGCACCTGCTGACTTTCAAGCTGAGAGGTGGTCCCACTCGTGTGTACTGTGGCTTGTTCGTTATGAGTGTACGTTTTCTGTGTGATAGCGCAAGCCAACTGCGCTTGAACATGCTGTTCGAAGTTACTAGCCGTCATTAGTTGGGCTAAATGCATTGCAGAAAAACTAGCTTTACAGATACGAGTAGGGTTTCTTGTGTTAACATATAACGTGGTAACACAAAGCGGACATATACGACGTTTGGCCAATATTTACTGCTGAGGGGCGCCTCGGCTGCGCATCACGCTCCGCAGGTCCAGTGGCAAGACAACGGCGGCCGGTGCGGAGTGTGCGGCGACGACTACGCGCTGCCACGGCCGCGACGTCACGAGACCGGCAACACGTACGCGCGAAATATCACGGTGAGGCGCTACGCGCCCGGACAGCTCATCGACTTGGTGGTCGACGTCGAGACAAATCACTTGGGACACTTCGAGTTCGCCCTCTGCCCCAGGTCGTCATGGGAAGAGGCTGAGACCGAGGAGTGTTTCGACATGCACCCGCTAACTGTGGTGACCGGCACCGGACCCAATCGTAAGGTAACGACGAAAATGTGAAAGACGATTTGGACTTGCCTGTCCAGTTCGTTTTTTTTTGTTGTTGTTGTTGTTGGCTTTGGCTGAGTACCTCGTCCACTGATAATTCAAGGCCGAAGTGAGAGGGAGATATGGCGTAAAGAAAGGCAGGGAGGTTAACCAGAAAGCAAGTATCTGGTTTGCTACCTTGCACTGGGAAAGGGGGAATGGGAGACAGAAAAGTAAGAAAAAGGAAATGAGAGAAAGAATGTGGGACGAAAGCGAGAACACTCAAACACACTAAAACGCCATGAACGTTCAACGAGGCGGGTCGATCGCAGAAACTTCGGGAGGGCGTTTGTCGCTTTCGGCGTGAAGCTCGATCTTTCCGGCATTCCAAAAGTAACTTTTCGGAAAGCGGCATGTCGTCAAGGTGTGCAAACACTGATGGCATGGACTACGACTTGTACAAGAGGTTGTCCCGAAGCGATTTTAATGCATTTATAAGTGACACTCATGTACCATTGCATATTATTGACACCAAAAAAAAATAATGTCAACCACTGTAGCACCACCAACGCTGAACACAACGACGTACCCTAAAGCTGAACTTGTATTCTAATGGCCCATTTCACGCACCAATTTCAGGCTAAGATGTCATTAACCGATAAATCAGCTAAAATAAAGCGCATGCCAAAAGCGTGACCATCATACTGGCACGTATGACAGTTAATATCGGTGAACGTCGCATACATATATCGTCAGCACCTTCTCCTTCTGCTAAGCCCCGCCGCGGTGGTCTAGTGGCTAAGGTACTCGGCTGCTGACCCGCAGGGCGCGGGTTCGAATCCCGGCTGCGGCGGCTGCATTTCCGATGGAGGCGGAAATGTTGTAGGCCCGTGTGCTCAGATTTGGGTGCACGTTAAAGAACCCCAGGTGGTCTAAATTTCCGGAGCCCTCCGCTACGGCGTCTCATAATCATATAGTGGTTTTGGGACGTTAAACCCCACATATCAATCAATCAATCAAATCTCCTTCTGCTAAGATAATTCTACATACAAAAGTGCGGACGCGTCTAGGGGTTAGAATTACAGAGAAAGGGATGAGCTAATTCGCACGTATTCATGGTAATGGACTACGCATGCAAATAAGGACCGGTCTTCAATGTACCTGTGCTTGTATAGCCAGTATTTTAACGTGCATGTCTAGAGAAGAAAAAATAAACAAGAAAAAATATATTAACATATTGTGTGCAAGCAATTCTATAGTGTACTTGAATCTAATAGAAATGGAACAAAATTTTATTTAGGCTAACTTTGGGCGGTTTTTTATCGACGGTTGACCACTTTTTGACCAACGTAATTACGACCTATGAACTCGCCATCAGATCCCACACGGACGTAACTTTAACAGAGCATCTATTATACGCAGAAACCCTCGAGTGCTATGTTGTGACCTGAACTGAAACCTTTGATAGCCTTTAGGTTTATGTCGCTATCGTCTTTTCATCGGGACTGTCGCCCTTCGGCAGATGAGGGGCAGCGTGAAAATGCATATACAAATGTCCAAATACGAAAGTCGGGGTTGCGAAGTTTACTCATTAGCCCTTGCCGGGTACCTCAAAATCGCGTGTGGTTTCGGGATGTGTGGGGGAATGTGAATTCGACAATGTTGAGTGAGTGGACTTCCTGGTTTGTTTTTCTCTTATTAATAAAAATGGTCTTTACCATAACACAGCTTCAAACAACACAGCGAGAAAAAAGAAGCGCTAACATTGAACAACCTGTTAAATGTTAACGTCTCCGTCAACTTCACATTTCCTCACGTGATACGCAGCAAGATATTTTATGGTGAATTGCAATATCTACAAAGTTGAAGTTTCCATCGCGGTGTCATCTTATCACTAATCCACAGCTCTCAGCGCGAAATTGTTCTGTTTGGGGGATTAAAGCGAATGAAATATTTTTAATCTCAACTTAACCTTACGTGTACATTTTAAAGCAAGTGTACAGATTTGGCTTATCGCAAACTCTCGATTATGTTCCCCGTTATGCCTTAGTAACGGAAGCTTCAATCACAAATGTGACAAGGATGCCATGAAGCAAAACACCCTTGTAATTCCGGCGGAGTTTATTCCTCGAGTACGCCTTCCCTACATTCTCATGATACTCATCTTCTAAACTCTCTCGCCACGCGTTGCAGAAGTCCCACTTTTACACAAGAGAACCGCCAACCCGCTACCGGCTGCCAACGGCCGCCAACGGACTCTACATGATTCAGGTGCGGCTGCCGGAGAGGCTAACCTGCGAGTATTGCGTCCTCCGCTGGCACTGGAGATCTGGTAAGCGGGGCTGGATTGATGCTACACACATTTACTACACCCGTGTATTGTCCGAATTTGGAACGATATGCACTTACTGACTTGTGTTTGTGACACGCTGTGTCCAGTGTTCATATAATCCGACAACCATTACTTCACCGCTGTTTGATCGCATCGAAACACCGTATATTTTTAAAGCGTGGCCAAAATTGATCCGATGCGTGAGCTACCGATATTCTCGCAACGACAAAATGAGAAGTATCCCTACAAAAGCAGCTAGTAGAGTGAAAATCCGAGTAATGAAAATTGTCCGGACACATTAGTGGCAGGGGTAAACATTCTTTTGAGCGGAAAAACGTGGACCGGTGCTTCTGTTTTAATAATTTTGAAATGCTTGAAAACTGTTTAACTTAAGAATAACCGTAATTACACAGCTAAATATAGTCGTTGTTGATGGCATGTATGTTCAGTAGGCGTTCTAAAACTTCCCCGTGGTTGATCGTATCAAACATACGTTTACCTCTGGTATATAGTTACTATCTTGTTCAATTATTAAGCGATTAGGCTTTCATTATAGTGTGATAATTTTTAGTAGTTAGCCAGTGATCCTTCTAGCTTTGTTTAGGGGTAGAAAGAAAGCTATCAGCTTGGGTTAGGTACCTGTGAACGTCAAGCGGGGCGCTAATGAGGCTGTCATCGTAATTCAGTTTACTACTGCACTGAACATGAACACATCTTTATATATTAGGCCCAAACATGAATACATCTTTATCTCTAAAGACTCCGTATGATGTAAATGAACTGGCTGTCCCCGACTAACCCTACAAGATTAGCAGGTGCCACGCTGCTAAGCTAGAGAACGCGGGTTCAGCTCTCTGCCACACTGGCTGCACATCGATAAAGGTGAAAAGCAAGAACACTATTGTGCTAAGATTTATAGTTGCATGGTGAAAAACCACAGGCTGTGAAACTTTATGTTTTTCTCTTCCATACGGCGTGCCCCATTACAGGTATTGGTCCCTAAGAGCCTCTAGTTTTAAGGCTGACTGTTTCAACGGAACATTGGTTACCTGTACATAGTTTATGAATATATTCAGGGTGAACAGTGGAAGTTCTTCAGACAGGCTGGCCGACGTTTAGATAGGAGGACCTATCCTTGTCGAAGGTGCCATGTCATCCTTGCAGTGTTGGTTTTAAGGGAATTAGTAGGGACATCAACACTGCAATCAGCGGGCGGACCTCAAACACATTATCTGGGCTTGCCCCAACATCGTGAAGGGGCCAAACACATACATGAATACGGAGCAGTGGGAGACCGCGCTGCTAAGCTCAAGCATCGAGGACCAACTACAGGTCATCAGGCAAGCCGAAGATGCCGCTAGGGCCCAAGGACTCCTAGCTGCCATCTAAGGGAGGGGAGTCAACTCCTCTAACACTTGCCGTTTCAATAAAAGTTGTTTCTCTCTCTCTCTCTCATCTTCTGATGTCACTACTAACCACATTACCAACAGGGACACACGCCACCACCAGTAAATGACGTCACTACTAACCCCCTTAAAACTAACACGCCAAGGATTACAAGGTGCCTTTGACAAAGATAGGTGCTTCTGCCGAAACGTCGAACAGCCTGTCTGAGGCACTTCAAATGTTCATCCTGATTATCCCACTACGTGTTTCCGCCTGTCGGCTCTCACCTGGATTTTAGCTTATGAATATGTAACAGACGGCCATCAGACGCCTAGTATTAAGCAACTATTATCCCTCGAATTTTTTTGTTTAGTGCAAAAGAAGGCAGTTAGAATAAGAGTCAAGGAATTAATTTGTGGTCAATAAATGTTACAGATATATACGTCAGTTTACTTTCTTTGCAATATGTCTTTATGTTGAGAATATTAGTTTGTAATGCGCTTTCTGTAATCCCACTGCAGCGAACAACTGGGGTGACTGCGGCAACGGCAAGATGGGGCTCGGTTGCGGACCCCAGGAGACGTATCGCAATTGCGCTGACGTCGCCATTGGAAACCGCATTGGGCTTCGTGGACCTCTGGGAGCCAACGCAGTGCCTAAGCGCTTTAGGGCCACCAAACCAATGAAAGTTCACCGCATCTAAACTAGAATCGATAGCAGAACACATTTCACGAAGCAACGCAGCTAACTTGCTTATTTATTGCACAATAAATGCGTATTTCTTACCAAAACGCTAAAACACGAGCGAATTTCTTCGTCTATATCCTGGGGCGGAAAACACAACAAACAACTGTTACTGTGAAGGACATCAGCACTGGCGCTGTTACCTCATTTGGCTGTTTATCATTTCATGCTTGCAATTTCATATATATATATATATAATATATATATATATATATATATATATATATTATATATATATATATATATATATATATATATATATATATATATATATATATATATATATATATATATATATATATATATATATATATATATTTGCGCCAAGATAACGATCTTTAATATCGCATTTCAGTCATATGCTTGCTCCATTTTCTTCTGAAAACACCCAAGCTTTTTCGAAGGCTTGCTCCATCGCTGTGAGCAAATATCCATGCGTTAAAAAGTATCTCAAGACTTCTTTGTATAGCCCGTTGATATTATAGCTGTTAGGCTCGTAAACTGCCTGCACGGGTGGAAACGAGACGACGGCATTGTTGTTTTCGGTATAGGACTCTTGGTCGAGTGAAAAGGCGAAATTTAGTATTATTATGAACATAACTTCTGTGACGTCGGCCGAATTTATAGAGAAAACAATTTAGCAATCGTTGTCATTGTGGAACAGGTAAACCTTTTTTCGTTATGATCAAACTAATACTTATTGTTTGTACCGCAGAGATTGTTAGCGAAGAATGAACACGTGTTTTTATGCGAGTAAGTTGTTGCAGACAGTTGGGGAAGAAAGATATCAATTTAAGAGAAGGAGAGAGAGAGTGAAAAACTGTGCACCAGCAAATTTTATAAAGTAACCACCATGTCGTTACGATATGTATCTATTTCGTCAATCAGCATTTTCAAAATCATCATGGTTACTTCCTTGTGCTGTACTTTGTTTGGCGAAAACCCTTGGATGACCGGCGTTCTGCTATATATTTACTGACGCTAGTTGTTAGCCGACAAAAACACTACATCATGTATACATTAAAAACACAAAAACGAAGCTTCCTAAAAAAATTCTTCAGGTACTTCGCACTCACCCTCGGGGGTTCTATGTAGTAACTTCTGTAACGACTTATACAAAATGTAAGTCACCAAGTAAATGGTGGGTCTTTGCATAAACTATAAATTAATAGAGTTAAAAACATCTCTTCACTTGGCATTCACTCTAACAATGGAAAAGAAGGGGGGGGGGGGGCAAAAGTTCTTAGGCCATTATCCAATGTGTTGATATGGAGGCGTGGCCTGAAAACTTTTGACCAACACTGTACGCACGACCACAGAATTTTCAAATGTTGCTCCAGCAAAAAAAAAAAAGAAGAAGAGACAGAAATCAATTTCAATTAACAGGTTCATGCGGATCTGCCTCCGTGAAAAGTGCTCGTGTACACAACAACAGTCGCTTATGCCATAAACATAGTCTCATACAGAAATACACCTCCCCGACACAGTCGCTCATGCCATATAATAGCCTTTTACAGAAACATACCTTATTGACACATGCCGTGTAATTCTAGAAGGAAACGTTGTCGTTGTGAAAGTGCCACAGTGTTAGGCGGCACATTAAGTTCGGCTGCATTCCCTGACACCCCTCAACCCTCGCCCTCCGCAGCGCTTCGAAGTACACGTTAGTCAAACCGAAGAAAATCAATTCTGTGGAAGTTAGCCAGCGGCTGGCATCTTTGTCAATACTTATTAGTGAATACTCGCCTCAGATGCAGCCACAAATGAGACACGTACAATTTTTCTGAAACAGGTTTGCCCTAAAAAGCAAGATTGGTGACAGCTGGCGGGTTGAAGTTGAGAACAACGCTTATCTGGCGTGGTCACTGGGCCGGCTCGGCTAACCGGTTAGAAAACCGAGAGGTCGAACCATGAAATAACTTTAGGTGCCGGGACGGATTATTTTAAAATGTCTGAAGGGTTCCGTAGGAATTCTCAGCAATCTGAGATACTCGTGGTTATTCCTGATTCTATAGACCAACAACCCAAGATAGGTGGTGTTATTTCGTTCCAATTATGGTCCATGATGATGCTGATGACGCCTTAATTAGGGCTTATACCTAATAGGGGGATCGGTCAATAACTGATTACACGAACGTGGAATTTTCAATAATGAATATTTATGAGAAAAATATTGTACGTAAAAGGAAAAAAGTGGAAGAAGTGTTCTTTTCCTGTTGAGACCAATATATATATATATATATATAATATATATATATATATATATATATATATATATATATATATATATATATATATATATATATATATATATATATATATATATATATATATATATATATATATATATATATATATATATATATATATATAAATTGTGAAGAAGAAAGAGCGTCGTTGGCAAGCAACATCGCCACCGCTTGGGTACTGGGTGCTGGGCTTGGCTCGCTCGGCTCGTGCTGATCATCGCCGGCATCTGCTTGACCGTTGCTCTTGCCCGATCGTGTTTCTTCGTAGGACCACCGTCGCAACAGTCGTCAATAAACCCTTTTTCAATCAGCAGATCGGTAGCAGATCGGTCGATTGTCAGGAGTGCGCCAGGAATTGCTGACTCGTGGTGCGGCCCAAGGTGTCGAAAATGGGGCGGAGTGGGGAGCGACTGAAGACATGGGTGGCAAATGCTGCTGGCGGGGTCTGCTACGTACCACCTGGGCATACGTGAGAGGCGCGGCCACGGGCTGCATAGCCGGCGCATGGGCAACAGGCATGGCCACAGGCTGCTGGTGGGCAGCGACGGGAACAGCCTGAGCTACCTCTTCGGCAATAACGTCGCGGAGTGGTGAGGGCAGACGATAGGACGGCGGCTGCTGCGTGAAGGGAATCAACGACAGTTGCCGAGCTACTTCTTCTCGCACAAAGTCTTTAATCTCTTGCAGGGTTGGTGAGTGGTCGGGAACAGAAGTGAGACTGGAGAGCGAGTCGGCGTGTGAGGAAAATGGCCGAGTCAGGGCGCGCTGCTTGTTCAACTCGTCGAAACTTTGACACAAAGTGACAAGTTCCGCAACGGTGGCAGGATTACGGGCCAGGAGCAGCTGATAAGCACCGTCATTTATCCCTTTGAGGATGTGTTGAATCTTCTCCGACTCGGGCATGGTGGTGTTCACACGGTTGCAAAGACCAATAATGTCTTCGACGTAGCTGGTGAAAGATTCCGTTGGCTTTTGTGCGCGAGTCCGCAAGCGTTGTTCGGCTCTGGACTTGCGGACTGCGGGTCGGCCAAAAACGTCAGCAAACAAGGTTTTAAAGATGGACCACGTCGTGATGTCGTTTTTGTGGTTGTTATACCACATTTCGGCCACGTCAGTGAGGTAAAAGATGACGTAAGTCAATTTGTCCGCGTCATCCCACTTGTTGTTTGCGCTCACCAGTTCATAGTTAGCGAACCAGTCTTCCACGTCGGTCTCATCAGCTCCGCTAAAGACCTTGGGCTCTCGCAAACGAAGAACGCCGGGGTTGCTGGGGGATGGAGTGGAAGAGCCAGGTTGCGCGTTGTTGGTAGCCATGATGGGAGGTAGCGTTCGGTTGCGCAGCTCCAGGTTCAGGCGACGGCGAATGGCAGCACGAGCCGAGCGAGCCAAGCCCAGCACCCAGTACCCAAGCGGTGGCGATGTTGCTTGCCAACGACGCTCTTTCTTCTTCACAATATATATATTTATATAAATATATATATATATATATATATATATATATATATATATATATATATATATTGTGAGCGCGACAAGCGAATGACTCTTTACTCTCTTTCATCACCTGTACATCTTTTCTTCATCTGTAAATATCATCACCAGCGTGATTTAGCTCGAGCCTGGCTGAATAAACCGGTTCCTCACAAGTGGTGGACGGTGCTTTTCGTTCCCTCAAGTCCTCTCGCCCGTTCTCGCTGGAGCTCCGCTCGGGTCGGTGCATACAACCCCCTGCCATGGCGGCCCAAGAAAACCCTGGCCCATCCAACGTCGCCGTCCTACTGCAGCCACCGCTACCTGCTCCGCCCAACAACATTCGCCTGCGTGATTCACCTGTGTTTTCCGGTCTCCGAGGCGATGATGTCGAAGACTGGATCAAGAACCACGACCTCGTCAGCGATTTGAACAGGTGAGACAATCCACAGAAGTTGCGCAGCGTCCCATTTTACTTGTCCGATGTTGCGAAAACTTGGTTCTGGAACCACCGCCCGGATCTTCCCGACTGCGACACTTTCGAGCAGCAAAATTCGTCAGATATTTGGTGGCCCTGCAGTTCGCACTGAGGCAGCAAAAAATAAGCTCGCTGAACGCACGCAGCTGCCAGATGAATTTTACACCTCTTATATTGAGGATGTCCTTGCACAGTGCAAGCGCGTTAACACCGGCATGTCTCAGAACGACCAAATACGCCACATTATTAAAGGCATTAACACCGTCGCCTTTAACGCCCTCGCCACGCAAAATCCTGCCACCACACAGGACGTGATAACCATCTGTCAGCGACTTGACGAGCTTCAATCTCTTCGCCTTTGCTACGATGCCCCTGACATTCGTTAGCCTGTACCCCTCGACTTGCGTGCGCTTATTCGCGACATCGTTCGTGAAGAGCTTCACGGGCGCTCCTCTTCCTGTGCTGCGGAAGTTACTTTTTCGTCTGAAAAAGATAGCTTGCGAGACCTTAATAAACAAGAGATCGCCTCCGCATCGCGTCCGACGTGTTCCAACGGTCCCTGCGTGCGCCAGACGCGCACGTACGCCGAAGTTGCCGCACTCTCTGCCGCACCCACCGTTTCTGTGCCTACAACAGCAGACCATACGCCTGTGGCTTCGTTATCACCGCCAGTGCGTGCACCACCTTACTACGCACCTCAGCGCCCACCTCGACCCATCTGTTACTACTGCGGCTATCGAGGACATATCGCGCGGTTTTGTCGAAGGCGCCAACAAGACGAGCAACGCGGCTACGCTCCTGAAGAACATCGAAGCTTCCGTCCGACCATGAACTACCTACGACCACCCTCCCGATCGTCCT